GTCAATTGAGACTGCCACGGTCCGCGAAGCGGGCTTCTGTTGATTGAAGCCCACGTTTAATAGTTAGTACAAGTGTCAGGGAACATACAGTAGAAATGTTGGCAAATATGTTTCCCCTGCTGTGAATACACAACGAATAGAACTAACTTGCGACGGATCTGGCTTCCATGCGATAAAGTAGAGCAGTCTAAATGTGGCCGGGATGCATCTCTCCCCCTCTTTACCGTTTTCACGGGACTCGCCAAAGCGTTCTGCAAAAGGGAAATGCAAACTAATTGCAATGATTCTAAAATGTTTACATAAAATGACGTAGCTAAGTTAAAACAGCTAAGCCGAATAGTCAATAATGAGTACCCAAAGATGAAGCCGGATGGCGGGGAGGTAAGCAGCAAAGAAACACAATCGTTATCATCAAAAAGAACATGGGCTGACCGAAAGTCTCATGGATTCAAAACATTAATAATATATACAGTTGAGCCTCGGGTGACGAACAGCCCATCTACTCACATTTCAGGTAACAAGCGAACCACTAGTATAACATTTTTTTCGACCGAAGAGCTCCTGCTCCGTTAACCCACTACCAATGCGTGTGTGTGCTTGTGTCCGCCGTTCAGTCTTTCTCGTTGGACGTGGGTCTTCGGTCGCCTGCAGCCAATAAGTGAACTGATGCAGTTTGAGTGACTAAACTTTACAAGACGAATGTTTTACATGACGACCTCGGTGACAAAATGCATTAAACTCGTTAACCGAGGTTCCGCTGTACCTATAGGGGACTTTTCTGCTGAGATGACAATGCAGAGAATTGAGACTACAGCTCTTCCGCTGGTCAACCCTAAGTTGTGGCTGTGATATGTTGATAATACTTTCATTATCGCGAACTGTAAACCTTACAGAGCGTACTCAACGTCACCCTCCCTGGGATTAAATTCACACGCGAAAGGGAAGCCGACCCCAAATCCCCGTTCCTCGATGTCCTTGTACAACGACAACTCGATGCACGACTGCTTACCGCCAGGAAACATATGCGGACGTCATCCTAGAATATGAAAGCAACCCTCTTATCTCTCATAAAAGGAGTACTGTTAACAGTCTACTAAATCGAGAAAAAACACACTGTTCGGACAGAAAAGGCTACAAGATCGAACTGAATTATCATTGTTCAAATTATTTTATTCAAAATGGACATCCTTGAGACTTCGCACGCCGATGCGTGAGATAACAAGATTCAAAGAAAAAGGACTTAGATAGTTGCAATCAGACGCCCAAGCTATATACAGTATTGTGAGTCCTGCAAGCAACTTGCCTAAGTTTTTAAATGCTTGGATAATTTCTGCCTAAGCAGCGAGGACGCATTTACGAAAACTGATAAATAATAATGAGCAGGATTAGGCATACGAAGTACTTAAAAGAACTATAAGAAGTACTAAGTGTTTGTTAAGAAAAATAAAATGTTCTTGATAATTCCCAGGTTGTGGAGACGTCAGAAATAGCTATAAATTAGAACAATAAATTTAAATATTTTGTTAATATACGCAAATATTCGGGGTCCAGATATAATATCGTGCTCATCCCCTCTTCTTCTTCCTCTTCCGGGGATGATGAGCACGATATTTTGTTAAGCATAAAACTTAAAACAACCATTTTCTTTATATGAAAAGAACCTGTCTTTAGTCAAAATACTTTGTACATATGGTAATTAGTAGATAATTAATTATTGAATATCGTGGAATAAACTCTCATAATTTCGCTCGTTTTCGGTGTCTTCATTGATAAGTTGAGAAAATTGCGCTTCTC